GTTTCTCCTGAGATACACCAAATCTCCTCATAACCACCCCCCAGTAGAACCTTCTTACTCTGAATTTTGGGTCTGTATCATACCTAATCAGTTTGTAAATGTGTAGCTCCTTGGGACACAGACTTGCTTGCTTAGCTCCATGCACTGTTGTACAATACTTTTTCATTTAAAGAGACTGAAGAAGAATTTATTACTTTTAGCTTAAAGCTCACTGAAAGTGATCTGTTGTTCCAATCTTATTGGGAAATTTAGGCAGTTCCTGTTGAGCTACAACTCTTTCAAGCCCAGGAGAAGATCTCTTCCTGGCCAGGAACAGGGCTATCAGTATAGCCTGCTTATCAGTCCCACCACAAAAATTTTTGAGGTGGTGTGAGGATAAAAATCACGCAGGTTTTTTAATAAAATTAATGGAAACTTTAAAAGAATCATCTTCCCTCTGCCCTTTTACTTAATTGCCAGTCTTGAGCTCAGATGCAAGAGCTCAGGTGAAGCTTCACTTCTAAACTTGCAAGTTTTACTAATTAGGAACTCTTGACAAGAGTTCAAGTTTCTCTTGAAAAGACACCAGTTCCATATGTGCAACCATACTTTGTCATTTTATTGGGCTGTGAGTATATGTTCCCTTTAAAAGGCATCAGAAGTAATGCAGTGCCCACTCAGGCAAAGCGCCTGTGATCAAAGGACTGTGAAAGATTGGGTGCTGATAATTTTTTTTTTTTTTTTTTTCTTTTGACCAGCAACATCCTTAAATACAGTTTAGCAGTGTGAGTGGAAACATTTTATGTTATTCTGGAACTAGATTTTCCAAAACATAGTTAGTAAAATGAAGTGTCTTCTATTTCTTCCTGAGAGTGGACTACCATCCTTTATTCTTACCTCTTGGCTTATTGCCCACTGCGCTACAGATCTCAGAAAATAGATCTATGTTCATGTGTATGTGTGTGCTCATACACGTGCATGAGTGTAGACATAACTAGGGGTCAGGCTGCAGTTGTTGATAATGTAGGTAGCAAGAATTTTTTTGAGTTTGTATTTATTTTTTAAATTAACTTCTCATTCTTCACATGACTGAGAATTTGTCTAATTAAGCAAGCAGTATTGTTCAAACCGCTGGACTCCAGAGCTCTGAACACCAGTCAGTCGCTGTCCTTGGGTACAAAGCAACCTGCTTACCAAAGGCAATGGCGATAAAGTGTTCAAAGGACAGTGGGACATGATTCAGTCTATGTTTCACTTTTATAAACTTCCCTTTTCCCTCCCCGTCCCCTTTCCCCTTTTGCTTGGCCATAAAAGTGTGTCCTGTGTAATAGGAGTTGGGAGCTTTGCTGAAACCTTGGATGATGTCCAGCGTGACCACGCAGAAGGATGAGCTCAGAGAAATGACTGGAAGTTCAAAGGCCTTTTTGTGTTGCTCACTGTCAGATGACAGATGTGCTCTCTTGGGCTATTAGTAATAGCCCAGCCTAGTTCTTCCCAATGGCTCCGCTTCCTTGGGCTCTTTCCCCATCCTGCCTTTCTGCTCTTTCTAGAGGGGAGGCAAGTTAGTCCCTGTCTGTCTGGGCAGTTGTCTGTCTTCAACTCTATCCCAGTACTTGCCTTTGATCATCTCTTTTAGGAAAATATTGCTTCTTTGCACAGATATGGAGAGATCAAGCTTGAATTGAGCAGGGAAGGGGTGATGAGACTTCACCGTGTTTACTGTTGCATTAACTAATCCTGCTATAAGTAGTGGTGAAAGCATGTTAGTGCAATCCATGATTGCTTTCGTGTCAGTGGAAGCAGTGCGCATGAAGGACTTGCAGCTTTCTTAGGAAGTAATAAATATCCTTCATTTTACAGATTGGACAAGTGGGGCTAAAGAGACAGAACTGTCCAATAGTCATGCAAGCATCGATATCAAGCTGGGAAGAGAATATAGGGGTTCCGTTTCCAGTCTTTTAGGGGGTCTTGCTCAGTCTCTGGCAGTGAAAGGAGATCCTGCTGCTTCACTTGTATTGCCATGTACTCTTCTTCTGACCATGGAAGTGTGGCTTTTAAAATGAGTTATATGAGCAATACACTTAGCAAATTGTATAGCTGCACCATGATGTCAGGAGAAAATATACTGGAGGTTGTTTGAATGTCCTAAGTGTGACCTCTTAACTTTTGAATTTCCTTTTAACTTCAAATTTCCAAACACTTTGGATATATTTACAACAGTACTAAACATTAACTCTGGCCTAGTGGTATGCCCTTAGCTTTAACTCCGTAGGAATAAAACTCATCAAAATATGAAGTGATAAATGACCCACAGAAGGACTGAATAACAACACTAGAGCAAAGGGCTGTACATTGGAACTGAAGCCTGACGTGTTTAGAACAAATAGAAGGAAACACAGGAATGTTTCTGTGTAGGCAGTTTGCTTTTTAATGGGGAAAAGGGATCATGGATTGGGAGGTCAGAGCTGGGAAGAGGGGGTTAAGAAGAGACTGCCCCATGTAAAAACTGCTCCCAGAATCTCTTGCATTTTCCTCTGGAGAATTAGTTTCTGACCGCTCTTACATTCAGGTTACAAGTTTACATGGATCCCTGCCCTGATTCCATTGGCAGTTCCTCTGCTTTATGAGATGTCAGCCTTCATTCATTAGTTTTTTTTCTTCTTAAGTGCATTTGTGTTTTTCCTTCCTCCTTTAAAGGAGAGCAACTATAGAAGGCGATTTATCTCTTCCCCCCACACACAACCCCGGTGTTGTCTGGGCTGGTGCACACTTGCTGTCTGCTGGGGTGGAAATTAAGTCCTCTTTTATATTTCACAGTTTATGTTTCACCCTTTTCCCCCTGCTCCCCCTCCCTTGTGCTTCAAGCTCAATTTTTATATTTAGGGGGAGTATGAAGTTGGCTAAACTGCTCCCTGTAGGGGTGGAATTTCATTTTGTATCATTACTTCATGAAGGGATGCAGCAGTTCAGTAAGATATTGGTATTGGCTCTGAACCAGTGCTAATGGCTTAACCCTCCAGGAGCCTGAAAAATTCTCCCCTGGAGAGTCAGCATGCCAATTCCCTTCCAGGTGGCTCCTGTGCAGTCCTTTGGTGATTAGTCATGCTGAGACCCCGGAGAGCAGACAGAAAAGCATATGCTGGGGGGATGGTCTTAGTCCTGAAACTACAGCTGAGGCCAGGGAAGCTTTGCTTATTGTGCAACACATGGAAGTTGTGCTTGGGTGAGACAGGGTTGATCTGTGGGACTGACCTTTTGAGTCCAAAAATCTGTCTTGTTTTTGTTTGGAAGCAGAGTTTGGGAACTGGAGTGTTTCTCCCTTTTGCCTGCCTTGGGGAAGAAGGGGAAGCTCCCTCTCCGTTTTGATACAGCAGTGGAGGGGTGCTCAGAGAAAGTGCAGTGTACTAGGGTGCTGTGAAACCTGTAGGGTGAAAATACAAATTTGTGTGCTTCTCTCTCCTTCATAACTCTCTGGGGCCTAGAAGGAGCTGGATCTGACCTGGACGTATATCTGCATGGGGCACCCTGGACATGATAGGAAGAACCTTTTCCCAATGGCCAGTGCCAAATTCTGTATTTTATCACCTAGTGCATGGTTCGGTGTTGAGAGCAGTGATGTCTTCTCGGATACAGAGATGCCTACACCTGCCATACTGCAGGAATGGCTGAGAAGATGATCCAAATTTGTGGTTAGGAAAACAGATTTTAAAGCAAGTGTGAATTTAACTGCACTTCTGTATTCTTTAGGGTGGGAAGCTTTTAGGACAGGCCCTTGGTGAGAAATGTTGGAGGACTTGCTATAGAGAGCAGTGAAGGATTTTGTGTAGTGTAATCCATGCTGCTTTCACAGGACGTTGGCAGCAGTCCTGGGCCAAGGGGAAACGGAGGGTTGAGGAAGCTGGAAAGGCTGAAAATGTGACTATTTGTTCTTATTAAATCCTCTTCCTTGTGTGTGTGGCTGCTGTCTTCACCTTCTTCTACTTGCCTCCCTCCCCTTGTGCTCCCACCTCCAGGATAGTGTTGGCAGGGAAAGAAATATCATAGTAGAAGAGGGCTGGCCTGCCTGGTGACAGATGGGCGATGCTATCAGCAAGCTGGGCTGGGATGAAAGGGTTTCAGGCACTAGCCTTTCCAGCCCTTGCCCCTTTGCATCGCTGAGTGAACGTTGTTCTTTGGCGAACACACCTGTCAGGAACGGTCTTGTGCAGCCCCTTCCCTACCACAGCTGGCAGCACTTAAAAGCATGAACCTCCCAGGGCTGAGTGTTCCTCTCATCTGTGGGGGGAAGGACAGGGCTGGTGCTCCCCCTTGAATTCCAGCTTTGTGGCCTCAGGCCTCTTCAAGCCCTGTGGATTTGTGGTTTCACTCGATTGACAGCAGACTTCTGTGTAGGCAAGCCTCATCCCATGTCTGCCCCCTTCCTCCGTCCCTTGTGGAGACCTCTAGTAGGGTTTGGCCTCTGTTGCCCACACCTGAGGTAGTGAATTATCCCCAGCAGTGGAATCACGTCTCTAAGCTGCTTCTTGCAGGTTTGTTAGAAAAAAATGCTGGCAGAGTCCCCACACTGGAACGCACACTGTAGCATGTACCTTGCAAATTCCTGTTCCCAAAAACATTGCTTCTGACAATTCTCACTCTAAAGAATTTGCTGTGTAATAGAAACAGGATGGAGTGCACTGGGAAGCATGCAAGAGAGGTGTTGATAATGCAATTTTGCTTGCTATAAAGCAAGTGCAGTAATGGAAGGACAGCAGGGTCAGGGATGAAAGAGAAAAAAAGAACTCAGTGGAGGAACAGGGGCAGCTCCTTTATTGTGGGAAGGTCAGTGCTTCTCTGGGGAGGAGAAGCTGCCAAGTTACAGACCTACCCTGGCCCCCCATCTGAGGAACAGCTCTTCCTCATGACTTGAAATTTTATGTCTCTTGTTTCTAAGAGAGGTAGCCCTCCTCCCTCAGGAAGGAACGTTGCTTTCAGGAAGGAAGCTGGCTGCAGCTCCATGAGGTGTTTCTTTGCTGTTGCAGTGCTGCCCACTTGCTCCCCCTTGGACTTCCACTGTGACAATGGGAAGTGTATCCGCCGGTCCTGGGTCTGCGATGGAGACAACGACTGTGAGGATGATTCTGATGAACAGGACTGCCGTAAGTCACCTCTCTGAGGGGAGAGGGTGGGTGCAATGCCTTCGTGCCATGGCTGGGGAAAGTTGACCCTTTCTGTTAAAGGAATGTAAGAGTTTATCCACTGAATCCTTGTAATATGCTGTATCCTGCCTCTGACAGAGGTGTGTACCTGATGTCTGTAAGCCCTGCTGCCTTGGCACCTGGCTTGCTGTTCAGCTGCATGTCCTGGGGGAGGGGATGCTTCTTGATCCAGATGGAGAACCGTTTATGCCCTGCAGCTTTGCTAGTTAATGTCCCATGAAGCACTTCACTGAGCCTTTGTGTCCTCCCCTGTTCGTGGAAACACCTAACCCCTGCCAAATCGTACTGAACTGCCTGTCTGGCTGACTTCCTGTGGCCCCAGGTTCCACTGTCTGACTTTGCTGCTGTGCCAGGCTGTCACCAGCATCCTCTCCCTTCGAACAGAGCTCCCTGAGGAGAGGGAAGTGCTGTAGGGATGCTGCCCACACAGAGACCAATTACCCTGAAAGCTGACTGGCTGCTGCCGTGTGAGGTACCATCTTCAAAACAGTTGCCATGGCAGACTGCTAGCTGTGAACACTGTAGGGCTTCTACAGATTATTAAAATGGAGGGAATTTTGCCTGAGTCTTTGGAATTCAGCCTCCTCGTTTCCCCTTTGTGTTGAGGAAAAGGGTTACTTGTGGTTGGCTTCCATTAGTAAAAGGTGTTCAGGGATACAACTTTCCTTCTCCACAAAAAATCATCAGGTCCGTACCTGGCAGCACATGCCAGAGAACCAGTGTGTTATGTAGCAGTGGAGCCTCGGTTTCTCTGAAACTGCACTGGTTGCTAGGGCTGGCATGAGGCTGCAGTTCGGAGCAGGACTGATTTGCTTTCTGGTTGAGATGGTTGCAGCTGCTTAATAAGCATCACTCTACAGCCCTTGATTTCTGCGAAAGTTGTGTGTATGGTACTCCAGAGTGGCTCTGATGGAGGAATCACATCTCAAGAAATGCAAAAATAAAGCTCTTAGCTGTAAAGTATTCAGTGCCCAGTACTCACATGGAAATGAATTCACTTTTTGATCAGTATGCCCCTGATCTATGCCTGCTATTTTGGGCAAACGGCTGGGAAGCAAGGTTCAAGGATTTGACATCCTATGTGATACTCTAGATCACAGGACTAAGCTCAGTTTTCCAGTCTATTCAAAGATTTTTCATGAAAGAAAAGGTATATAGGTCTGGGTCTGTTTGGTCTTCCGTTTTTCAGAAAAAGGTGGAATGCGCTTCTGTCTAAGACAACAGTGGTGACAACAATCAAAAGATTTGGAGACTAATGAAATAAGGAAGGCAAGCTTCTGTGAATAAGAGACTCCTAGGGGTTGTTCAGACTTGCATGTAACAACAGGAGGGGGGGTTTCTGTTGCATTGAGGTCCTCAGGTGCTAATTTTGTAGTCCCTTTCCTTTCCTCACTGGTCTGCAGACGAACTTCCTTAGAAGACTGGCAAAGAGGGTGGAATGAGGCTGCAAATACTGAGGCGTTCAGAAGAGGAAGTTTAAATTTTCTCTCTCCCTTTTCAATGAACATTTCCTTTCCTTTGAAGATAGCTTTGGCATTGTTGTGAAAAGAAGGTGGAGATATAATTCTACCAGCAATTATTTGTTAAATAATGATGGGGCCTATTAATTTGTTTAAAAAGAGGCCTGTATTGCCTTTATTCTCTGTAATGATCTCTTGAGCCTGGCTTGGGGCTGTGCTAGAACACCAGCACAGGGTGGGTGGCTCCATCTTTCTGTTACAGAGACTTCCTCCAACCCATGTTATCAAGTTTTACAGCCTGCTGTACAATTGACTTGCAGATGGAATGGAAGAGGGACACTCAAGAAATCTCACAGTGGCCCTGCTGGTATTGTTAGGAGAAGGGAAGTCAGCTCTCCAATATCGCGGTGTCCTTGGAGGACAAAGTTGCTCGATTTGTCACGTGTCACAGATTTGGTGTTCTGCAAGGTAAATCTTCCTGCCTTGTCTTCACATTGTCTCCATTGTGTCCCTGCAGCTCCACGGGAGTGTGAGGAAGATGAGTTCTCATGTCAGAATGGATACTGCATCCGCAGCCTGTGGCACTGCGATGGTGACAACGACTGCGGTGACAACAGCGATGAGCAGTGCGGTGAGTAATGCGGTCCTACAAATACTGCCCTGCCAGTGCTTTAAAAGGGGTTACACAGACTCCAGCCTGTGCAGTTCTAGGATCCCCTGAGCATGGCAAGGCTCCCAGCTGGCTTGTCTGGGCTGGGCTTGTGGGATATTCCATTCCCAGAGCTGGCTGCTTGGGATCTCGGGCTGCATGGCTTACCTGCCAGGCAAAAATCACTTGAGACCTGTTATTCCTTGACATGCCATTGTGAAGCCCTGTGGATTCCTTTTGAATCCAGCACTCTGTGTAAGTTAAATGAACAATGATGGTTTTGCTCAGGCACTGCATGATATGGGTATGTGTGGTTTAAAGAGTAATCTTATTTGTGGGTGCCCTAGGAGCTTCAGGAGCATGGTGCAGTTGTTTCCCGAGTACTCTGAGAAAAGCCAAGGCTTTGTTTGTGTTGCTGTCTCTGCAGATATGAGAAAGTGTTCGGAGAAGGAGTTCCGTTGCAGTGACGGTAGCTGCATAGCCGAGCACTGGTTCTGTGATGGTGACACAGACTGCAAGGATGGCTCGGATGAAGAGAATTGCCGTAAGTGCTCTCTTTGCTTGTAACCACAGGAAATAGCCCTTTGGACCTGCTTCTGTCTTGGATTTTGGCACGTTTTGTGTAGCAGAGATCAAAACCAAGTTAGTCCTGCCTCTGCTGGCAGCTGTGCTGCCTTCTGTTTATACCAGAGGGCACAAGAAAATGGTATATCTCTTGTGTTACCTCACAGGCGTGCTTCTCTGTTCCTTCCCATGGCTGTGTGACCTTGAGTCAGAGCAGGACTCTTGTGCTTTGCTGCATACAACTCTATATAAAACTGTAGGAGTTGGAGGGCAGGGGGGGAAGGGAAGAAAACTATTCTTTTCTTATACATCTTGTCTGATTTGTCTGATTCCTGCCTGAAATTTCTGGGGGGGAGGGGGCGGGGGGCATGAGGGGCATGGTATTCTGCTCACTGACAGCATCCTCAGGGCCTGCACGTCCCCAGATGGCACACTGCTGGGGCTGCCTGCCTGACTAACCTCTCTTCACTTGGATGCTTTATGCAGGATGTTGCCTGAAAATTGACTCATGGGCAAGGGGGGCTGTGAGAGCCCACAATAGTTGTTTTCTCTTCCACCTTCACAGGCCTGTAGCAAGTGGGACAGGAGTCTATTATGTCCCTTCCTAACCCCCACTGCCTCTCTTCTGTGTCTGTGAGCGCTGTCAGTGTCTGTGGAAGTTGTGGTCGTCCCTTCCCCCACCCTTCTCTCAAAAGCATCTTGCAGAATTTGTTCTAGGTAGCAAGAAACTTCAAAAGGCTCTGGGAGGGGGACCAGGGCCGCCAGCTCCTGAAGGGCAGGGGGGAGTGGATGCATGGGAGAGTTGTCTTTTATCTCTCCAGATAATGAGAGCTGGCAGGGAGCCAGGGGCTGCAAACATTTCTAAGCCAGGAAAGGACTCTAAGAGCCTTCTAAGCCAGCCTCTCTCCCTCTCCTTTTCTCACTCCCTTGCCTGTCACTTCCCCATAGGCCATGAATAGGCCCTTAGGAAGGGAGGGGAGATGTTTCAACCTTGCCTCCTATGGGAGTAGAGGGGCACCCAGGACTGGTACCCCTGCTTCTCTGAGCTGGAATGCTTCTTCAGTCCTGGCTGGCAGTTGGCTCTCTAAGACATATTTAAGTAACTTACTAAGAAGCTGAGTTTGGCTACCTCACTTTCTCTTACCTCCCTCCGTGTGGTTGTCATCTTTTCCTTGTCTTCAATCCTGCATCAAGGACAAGGTGGGACTACACTGTTCTTTTTCGTGTGTTTTTTCTCCCCCTTTTTTTTTTTTTCTTTTTTTTTTTTTTTGAGGGGTGTGTGTGTTTCTTTTGGGGATGTGTTATAATTGCATCACGCATGAGAATTTAAGTCACTGACTTAACTTTCTCCTCAAGGAGACCCAAACACTCCTTTTGGGCTCCTTTGGTGAGGCATATTTAACACACATTTTAGTATCTAGCCACTGGCTACTTGCTGAACTAAAGCTCTAACTGCACGCCTCCAGGCTGTTCCCACTACTTCAGGTTGGAGAGGCAGATGTAGTTCACTTCCCAGGCTGTCAGTCTTTCTTTTCCCTTTTGTTTAGTGGATTTATTTTCGGACCTCCTCAGCTGAAGACTCATATGCCTGAAACATGCAGTTCATTCTCTGGACAGTACAAGAAGGGGTGTCAGATTCTGTTGTGTGGGACTCAAAATACTTTCCATCCCTTCCCATGTAGTGTACTGTTGCACAGAGAACAGTGGGCAAATCTTTGACTATATAAGTTTGAGCTTCGCTCAGTCATCTGTCTGGCAGTGCTCCTTACTGATAAGGCATGGTTTGTTTATGACAGCTTGAGAGGAAAGGGAGTGGGGGAATCCTCAAAGATCAGGTGCAGACTTGGGCACCTTGCTGCTTGCTGGCTTCCTTTGGTCTTCAGGTGCTTATGTTTGTTAAAATTTTAAAGGAATCATTCCATACCTTGCATTCTGACATGCCTCTCCTTAATATAGAGCTACCCCAAAGGGTATCTTTATTTTTCCATCTGTTTTTGTATCTACCTTTTTCAGGTTTAATAAACAATTTAAACACTTCCTGGAGGGCACTAAGACAGTGTATCAAGCATAAGGTGGAAGGTGACACTCTTGGATCCTTTTTGCTGCTTTCCCATCAACACTTCCTTCCTCATAACTGTTTCCTTCTGTGGAACTTGGTGGCCCTTGAAAAGTTAGTGTTTATAGACTAACATCCTGTGTGTTTTTTTTTTTTTTTTAAATTATTTTTAGTGGATTGTCTGCACAGGTTCTATATATAGGTTTACCCTGCCCCTCAGTGAAGCACAAACAGCATTTAAGTTCCTCTAAGTAATACAAGTCATGCAGACACATGCAGCAAACAACACCTTTCCATTGAATACTTACTAGTCCATTACTAGACTGAGAAGGTTGCATTTAAACTGGGTTATGCCCTGTCACCTCAGGCATTTTTTCTTGTTAGCATCAGATGTTCCAGCTGCCACCTGCAGCTTGGAGGAGTTCCAGTGTGCGTATGGACGCTGCATATTGGACATCTACCACTGTGATGGCGACGATGACTGTGGGGACTGGTCTGATGAATCTGACTGCTGTAAGTTAGTGCGGGGTGATATACTGGTACAAGCATCTGAGTTGCAAACCTAAACTGATTTTGCATTGGCTGGAGAGGGGTTGCAGTGTAGACAGCCATCTAATTGTTCACACATACGCTGGCTCTTTCATTTTTATTATTTTTTTTTAATTTGGTAAAGTGAGAATAGTGATGGGAACTCTATAGTCAGCACACTTCTGCGAACAGGAGTTAAAGCAGTTTCCAGGAGGAGTCTCTTCAGGACTAAGTTCCACAACAGTGGAGTGTAAGGGTGGCACTGAGGGGCTTTGGGGATGTTACGCTGGTCTGAGTTTGCTCTTTATATTCTTTACCATCTCTGCAGCATCTCACCAGCCTTGTCGCTCTGGAGAGTTCATGTGCAACAGTGGCCTGTGCATTAACGCTGGCTGGAGGTGTGATGGAGACTTCGACTGTGATGACCAGTCAGATGAGAGGAACTGCAGTGAGTGCTGGGAACTGGTGGAAGCACTCAGTTTCTGCAGATGCAAAAGAGTGTTTGGGACTGTTATCTTTGGAATTGGGTCTCTTCTGATCCTTCTTGCTCATCTAATGTTCTTTTTTTTTTGTCCCTCAGCTACATCTATGTGCACAGCTGATCAGTTCCGCTGTAAGTCAGGGCGCTGTGTCCGTCTGTCCTGGCGTTGTGATGGGGAAGATGACTGCTCTGACAACAGTGATGAGGAGAACTGTGAGAACACAGGTTTGGCCTGCTACCTTGCTGCTTTGTAGCTAATGTTTCCGTCCTGGAGGTAATAGGTAGTGAAGTCTCTTTTGGATTCCTTCACTGGGTTCAGCCTAGATTTTCTGTCCTTCCCAGAGAATGGGATCTATAGGCTATCTTTATATGCTTGAAACAAGTGCAGGTCTTTGTGCTTCAACTAAGTGATGGTGTTTTCTGGTCAAACATCAGATCCCCGTGTCTTCCTATCCTGTCCCTACACTGTTAATTACCACAGAGCTCTGAGACAATTCCATTCAAACTTAGAAACACTAATAGTGTGCAAAGTTGCTACCTTTGTCAAGTGGACTGTGTCTAACTCATGCCTTCTAGATAGTTCTGGGTAGCTTTCATGTTGCCTTGTGAAACTGCCAAGCAATTCTAGCAGGCAGTGGAACAAAAAGGGCATTTTGTGGAAATGAAGGATAAAGCCTTTGTTTTAGAGTTTAAGGTTGTCAGCTTCCCACTTAGATATTTGCTCAGGAGTCTTTCTTTCTCTTTCTAGTAATTATTTTGTATATAGCCGTTCTCTTATGTAATAGTGGTTACGGAGAAGGGGAGGGTTTCAAGAGACCCTAGTGTTATAGTAGGATTCAAGGAATGTCTAGAATCTTCTGTTTTCCTTAAGTCCTTCAGGATGTCTGTAGGCCTTGTTGAGGAATAATGTGTACTAATCCATGAATTCATTCCAGTGAGTGGAGTCCAGCTGTGCATACTGACCCTTCTGGATCAGTGTATTTTAAACAGTGGGTTTAGGGGTGACAAAAGGGATTTGTGAAACTGTACCCCCTGTTTGGACCTGTTGAGCAGGGGAGAGTGGGTGTTCTACAAGGACAGCTGAGCTCAGAGGACCTGGAGAGGCACGCTTTGTAGCCATTTGAGAGCAGCTGCTCTAGATTGGTCAGCTGTCACGAGCACCAGTGTGCACGAGAGATAGTGGTGATCCTGGAAAAAGCAATTGTGCTTAAAGACAAGCCAGTAACCTTGTTTCCTCATCTTGATAACAAAGGTTATTTAGAGGTACTGAAAGAACAGTTGTCAACCAGAAGTCAATTCAAACTTACAGAGCCACCGAAATTCAACCACTCCACCTCAAACCAAACTCAGCTGTTGTTAGTGTAAGCTGTGCAGTTCTGCATTAGGTCTATGGTGATAGTCAGCAGGTAAAAATTAACTCGGGGCTTCCAAGCAGAATGTCTGCTGTCTCAATGTCTGTAGCAAGAGTTAAAACCCTGTGTCACCTTTTGGTTTTAGAGCAGAATTATATTTATATTAGCCATGGAGAGAAGATTCCTAGAATAGTAGAAGATCAGCTGATTTAAGGATCTTTGTGTTCGATATGACAAATGCAGTCCAAGTTTCAGAATCCTTCATATAAAGTATTCACAGAATCACAGAATGGTAGGGGTTGGAAGGGACCTCTGGAGATCATCTAGTCCAACCCCCCCTGCCAAAGCAGGTTTGCCTAGAGCAGGTTGCACAGGACTGCATCCAGGCAGGTCTTGAATATCTCCAGGAAGGGAGACTTCACAACCTCCCTGGGCAGCCTGTTCCAGTGCTCTGTCACCCTCAGAGCAAAGAAGTTCCTCCTCATGTTGAGGTGGAACCTCCTGTGCTCCAGTTTGTGCCCGTTGCCTTGTCCTGTCACTGGGCACCACTGAAAAGAGCCTGGCCCCATCCTCTTGACAGCGACCCTTTAGATATTTGTAAGTGTTGATAAAGTCTCCTCTCAGTCTTCTCCAGGCTAAGGAGCCCCAGGTCTCTCAGCCTTTCTTCATAGGAGAGATGCTCCAGTCCCCTCATCATCTTAGTAGCCCTCTGCTGGACTCTCTCCAGTAGTTCCCTGTCCTTCTTGAACTGAGGGGCCCAGAACTGGGCCCAGCACTCCAGGTGTGGCCTCACCAGAGCAGAGTAGAGGGGGAGAATAACCTCCCTTGACCTGCTGGCCACACTCTTCTTAATGCACCCCAGGATGCCATTGGCCTTCTTGGCCACAAGGGCCCATTGCTGGCTCATGGTTCATTTGCTGCCCACCAAAACTACCAGGTCCTTCTCCTCAGAGCTGCTCTCTAGCAGGTCAACCCAGCTTGTACTAGTGCATAGGATTATTCCTCCCCAAGTGCAGGACCCTAGACTTGCCCTTATTGAACCTCGTTAGGTTCCTCTCTGCCCAGCTCTCCAGCCTGTCCAGGTCTCACTGAATGGCAGCACAGCCCTCTGGCATGTCAGCCACTCCTGCCAGTTTTGTGTCATCAGCAAGCTGGCTGAGGGTGCACTCTGTCCCTACATCCAGGACATTCATTGTTGATGAATACGTTGAATAAGGCTGGACCCAGTACTGACCCCTGGGGAACACCGCTAGCCACAGGCCTCCAACTAGACTCAGCACCACTGATCAAAACTCTCTGGGCTCTGTCCTTCAGCCAGTTCTCAATCCACCTCACAGTCCACTCGTCTATCCCACACTTCCTAAGTTACCTATGAGGATGCGGTGGGAGACTGTCAAAAGCTTTGATAAAGTTGAGGTTGACAACATCCACTGCTTTCCCGTCATCCACCCAGCCAGCCATGCCATCATAGAAGGCTATCAGGTTGGTCAGGCATGATTTCCCCTTGGTGAATCCATGCTGACTACTGCTGATAATCTTCTTTTCCTCCAACTGTCTAGAAATAACAGCCAGAACAAGCTGTTCCATCACCTTTCCAGGCATGGAGGTGAGGCTGACTGGCTGTAGTTCCCCGGATCCTCCTTTTTGAAGACTGGAGAGCCGTTGGCTTTCCTCCAGTCCTCAGGCACCTCTCTTGTCCTCCATGACCTGTCAAAGATGATGGAGAGCGGCATAGCAATGACATCTGCCAGGTCCCTCAGCACTCATGGGTGCATCCCATTGGGGCCCATGGATTTTTTTGAGTGTCCAGTCGGGCTAGGAGATCCCTAACCCAATCCTCCTTGACCAAGGGGCAGTCTTCCTTCCTCTGGACTTCCTTTCCTACATTCAAGGTCTGGGATTCCTGAGGACCAGCCTTAGCAGTGAAGACTGAGACAAAGAAGGCATTCAGTAACTCTGCCTTCTCTGTATCCTCCGTCACCAGGGACACCTGCCTTATTCAGCAAGGGGCTGACATTTTCCCTGGTCTTCCTTTTGCTACCGATGTATTTGAAGAATCCCTTCTTGTTGTCTTTGATGTCCCTAGCCATGCTTAATTCCAAGTGGGCCTTAGCCTTCCTCATTGCATCCCTGCATACACTGACAACATTCCTATATTCCTCACAAGTGGCCAGTCCCTTTTTCCACGTGTTGTAAACTTCCTTCTTCCCTTTGAGTGTTTCCCAAAGCTCCTTGCTCATCCAAGCAGGCCTTCTGCTTCCTTGGCTCGATTTCTTCCTCGTAGGAATGCATTGCTTTTGGGCTTGGAGCAAGTGGTGCTTGAATAACAACCAGCTCTCTTGGGCCCCCCTACCTTCTAGAACCGCAGCCCAGGGGATCCTTCTGAGTAGGTCTCTGAAGTTGCTGTTCTCTGAAAAGTGAATTGACATGTGATTTGGTTTTATGTTCCCAATTGGTGTGTGTTTTAGTTTTGATTTGTGCTTGTTAATCTCACAACTACCGTTTTCCATGCTACTTACAGGCAGTCTGCCAATCTAATTGTTTGTTTGCTGATAACTGTATTGCCTGTTGTCTTTCTAGAATTATCAGAGGGTGATGATTTGGAAACCGCTAACCTGGTCAGCTTAAGAGGTACAAGAAATAAGAGGCAACAGGACAGTACAGTTATTGCTGAAGAAAAAATCACATTGTCAAAATCTCTGCAAAGAGTATTACTTTACTTACAAGAATTCTGTAGAGTCTCCCTGCCAACAACAGAAGTTGAAGCATGTAGCTCATGTGTGAAATCCTGTTGCCTGAGTTCAGATTTCAAGGATGCATGTAAATCTCATTCCAAGTCTGTCACAGTACAGTTAGGGCTGGACAAGATGCTCGTTCCTAGGCAGGTTTAAGATCCGTAGCCATGCTGGAGTGACATGCCAGTTGATTAAAGCGAGGAACTGACTTCTTTCTTTCACATGCTGAGTAGGGTTGTGGAATCTGGAACCAAAAGGAACTAAGCTAGGACCTTCCAGTCACTCTGTGAGAAACTAAATAGCTGAACTTCCCAATAAGCAACTTTGGACTTACTCTGGAGGACAATTCACAGGTCTCCAAATCAGCATAAAGATATGTGGAGCAGTAAGGAATGCAAGATGAGCTGAATTCAAGGAAAGAGGAACTCATGGATTTGTGCTCATATGTAAAGTTTGTAACAAATCTTAGAAAATGTTCTGTATCCTTTTCTTCACCCTGACTGAAGCTGCGGTGTGCTTACTTTTCCCTTCTATTGCAGGGACCCCTCAGTGTGCCCCAGACCAGTTCCTGTGTGGGAATGGGCGTTGTATTGGCCAGCGGAAGCTGTGCAATGGAGCAAATGATTGTGGAGACGGCAGTGATGAGAACCCGCATCAAAACTGCCGTAAGTCCTCCAAGCTCAGTCTTAAATATAAATGGAGACACTGTCATGTGTGGGACTCTTATCTAGTGTTGCTGAAGGATGTGTGTAAGGAAGAAAGGCTGGGCTGTGGGAGAGAGTTGAAAACTGAGGGGAAAAAAGGTCTTTGGTGGCTTCGCCAATTACCTACTCCAGACAAGGAATAATGGGGAGAAGATTATGATCTCTGGTATCAAAGTTTTTCTGCAGAGATAGTGAATCCTAAAAGCATATTAATCTGAGCTTCGTTGTGCCCTTTAGTTGTGACCTGCAGGGGAGAGTTCCGACTGCAAAGTGACAGCTTCCGGCACAGCCTGTGTCTTCCCCATCTTGCTCGGCCTGTTCTGAAGGGTGACTGCTGCCTAACAGCTGAGGACACAAGCAGCTGCCTGGTGGTTTCAGCTCAGTTGTCTTCACATGTTCCTTTTGCAGGTCCACGAACAGGGGAGGAGAACTGCAATGTGAACAATGGTGGCTGTGCTCAGAAGTGCCAGATGGTACGAGGGATGGTGCAGTGCACCTGCCACACAGGTTATAGGCTTCTGGAAGATGGCCGATCATGCCAAGGTGGGTTTTTGGAGCAGTAGCCTCCTCCCTGCTGCTTTGATGTGCTTGAAGTTGATGGTTATGATAGGGTGCAAATCAGAGCATGAAAGCAGAAGCAAGCTATCGGTGAAATTGCCTGGCTTGTTGATGATCTAATGGTAGCGTTCTCCTTTTGTCTGTAATATGCAGATGTGAATGAATGTGCTGAGGAAGGTTACTGCAGCCAAGGCTGTACCAACAGTGAAGGAGGCTTCCAGTGCTGGTGTGAGCAAGGCTATGAACTGAGACCTGACAAGCGTAGCTGCAAAGCTCTAGGTAAAGTGGAGTTCAGCCTTATTCTGGTGTGTATGTGTTGGATCAGTTCTCATAATTTTGTCTCTAGTGCTTCATTGGCCACATTATGGTGCTTACCAAGCCAACCTGTGAGGAAAAGGAAGTACCTGGATTTGTATTAGGTATGCCCAGGTTGTTGGTGAATACCTGTGAAAGTTTTGTGTGATTTTGACCACAGATAGATAGAATCATAGAATCATTAGGTTGGAATAGACCTCTAAGATCATCAATTCCAGCTGTCTACCTAATACCACCATACCCACTAAACCATGTCTAGAAGCAATACATCAACACATTCTTTAAATATCTCCAGGGATTGTGACTCCACTACTTCCCTGGGCAGCCTGTTCCAATCTTTGACAATCCTTTTGATGAAGAAGTTTTCCTAATGTCCAATCTAAACCTCCTGTGGCACAACTTGAGGCCATTTCCTCTTGTCCTATAGCTCGTTACTTGGGAGAAGAGACAGACGCCCACCTGGCTACAACCTCCTTTCAGGTAGTTGTAAAGAGCAATAAGGTCTCCCCTCAGCCTCCTCTTTTTCAGACTAAACAACCTCAGTTCCCTCAGCCGCTCCTCCTAAGACCTGTTCTTCAGGCCTTCACCAGCTTCGTTGCCCTTCTCTGGACATGCTCCAGTACCTCAGTGTCCTCCTTGTAATGAGGGGCCCCAAACTGAATGCAGTATTCAA